GTGCATCGCCAGGGGGAGCGCTGCCCGAACCCGAAAGAGAGTAAGGGAACAATCGGTCCAGTTACAGTGCTTGCTTCCCGTATCCTTGTTTCCGAAAGACAGCATACATCATTGCGGGGAGAATCCAGTGTACCAACCGTAGCCATCTGTTATCCCGGCTGATAGCACGACGCGACGGCTGATGAGGCATGAGTTTATTGTTAGACGTTGGTATCATAGTTGTACGCGGCCTGGATTACCGTCAGTGCGCCCACAGCTAGACAGGAGGGTGATTAGTTTCCCCAACCAAGGCCTTTGGCTCAAAGGCCTAACCGCAAGGCAGCGGTGTTTGGCGGGAAATGCAAATGTATTGCCATTTCTACGCCCTATATTCTAACCCCTTGCCTGGGGGGGGGCAGGAGACTGTCACATCTCTAATGATTGACCAGCCTGGTATGAGAGACTGAGTGCCTCATCGACACTATGCAGTATAGCTCAATGGGTCACAGAGGCACACTAACCGTTACACTACAATAAAGTTCAGTCTCTTCGTGACGGGGTGTCATTGAGTCCCGATCTGAATGACTTTTTACCCTGATTGTTTAAGAGTGGAAGTTAGGTTGTCAGTCGGTGCTTGTCTGAGCCATTTTCCTCTATTTGGGAGAGGGAAACTGTTTTAGACAATCACAGAATCAGTAATACTGCCCATTTTCAAGAAAACGAGCCTGTAGTGGACGCAAAAAACGCAGGAAATCAGCTTGACTCTTGGCGTCGCCTGTCTTTGTCACCTTAGGGCCTGTGAAATACTGCTTCATTTGTTGGTATTCCTGGATTTTCTGTAGCACTTCTGTGCGACTCAGTTTGTCCAGTAATTCGCATTTACATCCGTTCTACGATAGTTGGCAGCGCTCCACCCCATCTTTTTCTCGTTACAGGACTCATCCAGCGTTACCAAGTTCATGTTCATTTTGGTTTGGGGCAACTCCTTTGAAGCCTTTCTGGATACCTAATCCATGGACTTCTTCGACTCGGACTGTTTGTGTGATTACACCATCAAAAAGAAGTCGCTGAGTGACATCTTTTTTCCAACACACAGCAGAGCACCTATTCCACGGTTTGTTGTCCTAAATAGAGCTTTACCTGCGCAGGCATTCCAATGCATACAATGATTTCTGGAACTTTCTGCAAAAACTTCAGCGGGTCATTCGAAGCAAATGTGATCAAGGTACATCACGGCTCCTGGGTTGTAGCGAGAACAGAAGTTCCGGCTGTGAGTAGTGCTTTAAACATCTTTTGCCAGTGGCCATTTATATCTGATATCTAACTATCTGGCAGGCGTTCGAGGGGCCAGTTCTGATAGTTACGTTTAATTTCTGGGTCCACCAGCTTCTCTATGGTTCTGTAAGGTGCACGCGTTTTGTGTAGACCTGAAGATCGCAATGAAAGGCAGCAGCGTACAGGTGCATGGTCGAAGTCCACACTGTGTTCTAGAAGGAGCGACAAGGAAGTACTTGACCCTTGCCACCGATAACTGACGGCGATGTGGTCTATTTGGATCCGGCGCCGGTTTGTTGGTGGGCAACACATTGTCAAGCGATTTCCACTGTTCCGGAAATTCGTACTGCAAAGGAACAGTCTGTGATCGGCACATATCTGAAGGAGACGATCTCCGTTGTCTCTGCGTCTCGTGTCCAATCCAAGACGACCATCCAATCAGCAGAGCGTAGCCGACTTGCTTGAGCATACATTTCACCAGCAACTGCAACCATACCTAAGCCGTTAGTCCGTTGTAAAAAAGCGTCCAGATTGTCATAGAAACCGTCTTTGGCGGATTCAGAGCTACACTCAGTTGGGCTGTAATCAAACACAATAAACGGAGTGCAATGGACCTCACGTTCTTGCGATTATCTCACAGACGTTGCCAGACGAATGGCTCGGAGGCCACTGTCAACGGCTGTCCCATCAAGTAAAGGCCTTCCGCCCGGCCGCTCAATACAATACCAACCTTAGCATGCTCAGCTGCAGCGGCCTGTGCATCGCCAGGGGAGCGCTGCCCGAACCCGAAAGAGAGTAAGGGAACAATCGGTCCAGTTACAGTGCTTGCTTCCCGTATCCTTGTTTCCGAAAGACAGCATACATCATTGCGGGGAGAATCCAGTGTACCAACCGTAGCCATCTGTTATCCCGGCTGATAGCACGACGCGACGGCTGATGAGGCATGAGTTTATTGTTAGACGTTGGTATCATAGTTGTACGCGGCCTGGATTACCGTCAGTGCGCCCACAGCTAGACAGGAGGGTGATTAGTTTCCCCAACCAAGGCCTTTGGCTCAAAGGCCTAACCGCAAGGCAGCGGTGTTTGGCGGGAAATGCAAATGTATTGCCATTTCTACGCCCTATATTCTAACCCCTTGCCTGGGGGGGGGCAGGAGACTGTCACATCTCTAATGATTGACCAGCCTGGTATGAGAGACTGAGTGCCTCATCGACACTATGCAGTATAGCTCAATGGGTCACAGAGGCACACTAACCGTTACACTACAATAAAGTTCAGTCTCTTCGTGACGGGGTGTCATTGAGTCCCGATCTGAATGACTTTTTACCCTGATTGTTTAAGAGTGGAAGTTAGGTTGTCAGTCGGTGCTTGTCTGAGCCATTTTCCTCTATTTGGGAGAGGGAAACTGTTTTAGACAATCACAGAATCAGTAATACTGCCCATTTTCAAGAAAACGAGCCTGTAGTGGACGCAAAAAACGCAGGAAATCAGCTTGACTCTTGGCGTCGCCTGTCTTTGTCACCTTAGGGCCTGTGAAATACTGCTTCATTTGTTGGTATTCCTGGATTTTCTGTAGCACTTCTGTGCGACTCAGTTTGTCCAGTAATTCGCATTTACATCCGTTCTACGATAGTTGGCAGCGCTCCACCCCATCTTTTTCTCGTTACAGGACTCATCCAGCGTTACCAAGTTCATGTTCATTTTGGTTTGGGGCAACTCCTTTGAAGCCTTTCTGGATACCTAATCCATGGACTTCTTCGACTCGGACTGTTTGTGTGATTACACCATCAAAAAGAAGTCGCTGAGTGACATCTTTTTTCCAACACACAGCAGAGCACCTATTCCACGGTTGGTTATCCTAAATAGAGCTTTACCTCCACAGGCATTCCAACGCATACAATGATTTCTGGAGCTTTCTGCAAAAACTTCAGCGGGTCATTCGAAGCAAATGTGACCAAGGTACATCACGGCTCCTGTACATAACTGCCATTCAACTTAGGTGGTGGTGGTGGTGGTGGGCGCCACCTCAAGTCATTGTGCCAAAAACGGTTGCGCCTGAACATCCGGACTACAAACTACC